TTTTGCTCGGAGTGATCCCGCAACTCGGTAATGGCTGATGAACCTTGGGCCATTCCCTTTGCGCTGAATGATTTACAACCCTCTACCTGATTTTCCGCGACTGAGGAGTGTGTAGAGTTTGTATCAAAGGTATTCGGAAGCAGACGTTTTAATCAGGCTTGCCATCGTCGAAGCCAATCAGATTCCAGACCTGAAGTGCTTCTTGCAAAATACGGTGGCAGCAACAGTGGTGACCAAACGTCAAATGCGTTACCACGCCACCGTAGAGAAAAGCCTATCTAGAAAATCTCCCTAGTCAAAGAAGAGGCTGAATCCATTATGAACTACGTATAAAGTGCAGGGTTAACCTACTTGACGCCGTTTTTCCCCGTAATTTCGAAAATGGCTCTCGGTAGATTCTGTGCTCACTCCTCGTAAAAAACATACAACTATGTATTTTTGAGTAAGATGCATATTATTGATAATCATATCATAGAGATATTAGTACATCGATAATTTTGAAATTTATAAACATGATATCGATGAGCAGGTACGTGGAAGTTGAGTCAACGTCCTTGATACAATTTTTTAGTCGTATGATAGTTATACTTACAGCACGCAAAACCCAAACCACATATTATAGTTTGTTCATAGTTCGTATAGTTAATGAAGATCTAAGACTTACTATTGGGTAACAAACAACTTTCGAACAACAAAAACAAATACGAGCTAATATGACAGTACGGGATCATTAACATTCATAAACATACCTTTCGGACAATCAATCATCTCATGGCCTGAATTGGCATAGACTGAACAGACGTTAAATGCTTTTTAATTGCTATGGTAGTGAGAAAGGTATTGTTCTTCACGTTTTTTGGAACGAAGGCATTCACATAGTAACTTTCCATGCAAAATATCCCAACATTGACTAAAGTAGTGAATTATGCTGCCTATTGGCGGAACCTCGTGTGGAACCCCTCCATTCCTTTCACGGTATGCAACTGAAATGAAAGGTCTGTACCACTAACCAAAACAAAAAATATTTTTCAGGTTTGGAGAAAAATATATGCGGATCTTGAAGCAAAAAGGTAACCTAAGCATCCACTTAAACAAATGCATTCGAGCAACAATGAAGAGATCAGTTAATTCTGCAACGTCTTTTAAAAATTTTAGATTAATCATAACGCCGCTTGCTACAAAGTTCAGACACAGATTTATACTCAGAAAGATCACAGAGCTGAATTTGGGCAGGCTCAAAACACCTGGGAATCAGGTAGCTATGCGGGCCAAGGTTCATTCCCGTACACGAAAAAAAAAATAAGCAAATAAACATGTTTAACCCCATTTTTGCAAATATAAAAATGTAGCCAAACATTTTATTTCCGGCACCACCCATATTCCCGTACAGAAATACTCATCACACATTTTTACCGAATAATGTGCCCACTTGTAGTTTCCCCCAGAACTTAGTTCGATTTTCGCTGGATTGCATGGATTAATTGGATTGCCTGCTTATGGCAATAACGAAGTTAACGACTTGATGGTAGCTTACGACGAGTGTCTTTAAGATCCGATTGATACTTAACGTAATAGGGAAAAGAGAAGAATTAATGAAAATGAAAATCTTCTGAGTACCTAGTTAATGTCACAATATGACTGCCATTGCGAATTGGTTCGGCGGTTGCTTAAGAACTTCCACAATGGTTTATTGTGAATAATTCAATTTAGATATATACCTTCATTCTCGTTCTATGAATAACAACCTTTACAAAACTGTAGCTGGTCCTTTGTGATAAAACTGTACGCTAAAGGTACTCAGGCCTTAACAGATTACGCATCATCAGAAATGTAAAGTTGAATACATCCAAGTACATCTCTTTCATGAAAAAACGTCAAATGAGTTTATGCAAAATTCTGTGTCAACGCTTTGAAGTTTAATTGTATTGTAGTATCACAGCCGTAGATAAATGCTTATCACAGCTGTAGATAAATGCTTTGAACGGTGTCTGTTGGAAGTGGTATCAGGCGTTCGGGCTATTACCCTCCCCTACTGTAATCTAATCTCCTTGATAACGATATTCCGCTATGAAAATTACATTCCAACATTCTAATATCCGATCTAATAGCCAACAAATAGCCCATAAAAATCTAACTTGGAAGTTATTGGAGGCAATCCTGCCTTTTTTAATTCTAATCTGCTCAATACATCATCCAGGACTACTGCGGTTGCCCAAACCAGCAATTATCGTTTCTAGAGTAAAACATTTATCATACCAGACAATCGAACGGCTATAGGTTCTCACACGCATTGTTTCCCAACGCTTATCAAAGGCGATTTTTTTAATATGTCGGCGGATCAAGTCAAAATTGTATTAAATTGTTAGGATAATGTCTACCTTCGACCGCAGCGAAAAGGGTACAAGAACGTGCCGGTATTTTTATGGGCATTCCCAAAACACTTGCCATACTGTCACGACCTACCTTACCGGCAAAATATCGAAGGTGAATACGCAGGGGCGGCACAGAAATGCTTCTCAAGCTTATAAAGATATCGCCATAGATACCCTGCAGCATTATTTAGGATGCATTTACACTGGTTTTCGAGAATGTATAGTGAGTGACAAAAAAGGGTAAACACGTACGTATGTTTATCTGGTTTTAATATACTAAGTGACATATAAATCCGAACACCCAGTTTAAATGGTTTTATTTTAATAAAATTTTGTATAAGTACTAAGCCTAAACAAAATCGAGACTTGTCACTAAAGACAATACTGTTCCATTCCTGATCCCAGAGTGACCGTTGTCTGCACCACGATGGTCGTGCCAGGGTTAGAAGGCGACGTGGTGAAAGGAGGAATCCACAGTTTTTTGTTGAAAGACATGTCCATCACACTGTTGGAGTTATGGTTTGGGGTGCTATAGCTTATGGTTCCAGGTCACCTTTAATCTTCATCAGAGGTAACATGAACGCGCAGCGTTATATCCACGAAGTTCTAGAACCCCATCTTTTACCCTATCTTGACACCCTGGCAGATCCAACTTTCCAACAAGATAATGCCCGACCACATGTTGCAAGAGTCACAATAGACTTCTTTCAACATAATGATGTCACATTGTTACCATGGCCACCAAGATCTCCCGACTTATCCCCAATTGAGCACGTGTGGGATATGATGGGTAGGAGATTGCTCAATTTGCAACGTCCTCCTCAGACTCTAGAAGCACTTCGAGAGGAGTTGGTGGTTGCCTGGAATGGGACACTACAGGAGGACATTGACCACCTGATCAGAAGCATGCCTAGGCGCGTTGGAGAATGCGTAGCACATCAGGGTGCATCCACACATTATTAAAGGTCAAAGTGCCTTAAAGCAGTGCAATCATTTTGAAATTTTTATCATTTACTTATTATGCTTCATTAAGTACTTATACAAAATTTTATTAAAATAATACCATTTAAACTGGGTGTTCGGATTTATATGTCACTTAGTATAGTTCTTGGCATATATGTTATCAATATGGATCAATAATGTGTTGAGCATCTACGATTTCCTGTTCGCATATCTCATTCCAGGCTACTGGCAACTTCGTGAGTAAGAGCTGCTAAAGTCTGTGGAGAGTGTTGCAAATTCAAGAGCCTGCGACCTATCATGTCCCAGACATGTTCAATTGGAGACAGGTCAGGTGGCCGTGGTGGCCAAGTTAAACAGTTGATGCGATGTTGATCCATGAAGGCTAACGTTGCTCTGGCAACATGCGGTCTGGCATTGTCTTGCTGAAAAAGTTTATGGTGTTTAGGTATGGAATAAGATGAGGCTCTACTACTTCCTGGATCTACTGTCAGGCTGTCATATTGCCTCTGATGAAAATTAGTGGTGAATCTGCTACCATAAGCAATAACACCCCATACCATAACTCCCACTGTGTGGTGAACGTGACTCTCTCTGTCAAATTGTGGGTCACATCTTTCACTCCGTCGCCTTCTCACTCTTGCCCGACCATCGTGCATCCCCAGACAGAAGCGGGATTTGTCACTAAAGATAACCTGATTCCATTCTCGGTCCCAAAGATTTCTTTCTCTACACCAGATCAAACTGTTACGCCGATGTTCAGCAGCGAGAGGTAGCACCGAATGTGGGCTATAAGAGAAAAGGCCAAACGGTCGTATTCGGCGATATACCGTACGCATACCAACCATCCTTCCATACTCTTCAAACAACTCATTCTTCTCTTCTGAAGTCTTAACCGGTGGTCTTGTCGCTCTGTGGTCCCTCTGAGACGTAAAGAACCCCTCACTCGCTGTCATTGGCCTTCCTGAGTACTCGCTCGTTCACATTGCAGTATACTGTGTAAGGATCTGTTGGTCCTCCTAGAAACTTCTCTTATCGATAGACTGGCTTCACGCAATCCGACAATTCGACCCATCTCAAAGTCACTTAGCTGGGACACCTGGCGAATTCTACGCACTCTAGGCATTTTAAGCAATCACAAGAAGGCTTCTCAATAAGCTAGACGAAATTTAACATTTAAGGATCCCCCAAACCAACGCGATTAATCCGCTGCGATATTCATGGCGATATAATTCTCGCGAAATTCGCTGCGAACATCTGAGGGACTTTCATATAGAAGCAAAAAGATCGCAGTGGATTGGCAGTAAACGGTGTGAGAGTGTAGCTTGAAAATCAAATTAAAACATGTACTCTTCAGATGAAGAAGAAGCAATTCTATATCTTGCTTTGGCGGAGGAAGAACGGAGTAGGTATGTATTTCTTGCAATATCTAGGTCTCAAAAAAAACATTCGCAAATATTTACAGGAAGCGAAGAAAATGGTGCCATAAAATTAACTTAATGTGGGGAATTGAAATGCCCCGATAAAACAGGATCAACCCACTTCTGTCATTTAAAAAAAATCTTCTCTTGTGCTAATGGCAATAATTGATCCATACTACAAGTTTATATGCGTAGATATCGGTGGCTTCGGGAAAAATAGTGACAGGGAATATTCGAAGCTTCTACCATGGGACAACGATTTGAAACTGGGTTGATGCACATTCCAGAAGATAAGCCTCTACCTGGACAGAGGGAACCATGCCCTCATGTTTTGATTGGAGATGAAGGATTTGCCCTTAAACCCTACCTAATGAGACCGTTGCCATATAGACAGTCGAAAGCAGACGCTAGAAAAGAAAAATACAATACTGGGCTGTACAGGGCGCGGAGTGGAGTGGAAAATGCTTTTGGGATTCTAAGTCAAAAGTGAAGAATTTTTTATACTCCCATGGAAACAAAAACAGATACTACAATTTTAATAGTAAAAACTACATGCGTCCTGCATAATTTTTTACGCAGTAAGCAATGTGACGAACAGTATATACACCTTCTAGACGAATATCCAGATCCATCACAAGCCTTTACCAACATCGAAAATGATCCAAGACGTGCAACGAATCTGGCATTTTCTACACGAGAAAAATTTGTTGACTACTTCAACTCCTAATATTGTTGGTCAAGAGCAGCTTAGCTAAGCCATTCATAAATAATAAACGTATTATAATAATTTCTCAGTAAAGAGTAACTTACCGGTGTCATTCAATTCCACTCCTATCTCATCCCAGATTTTGTCTTTTTTGCGAACATTTTTGTAGTCCTCGTTGTTCAAGTCATAGAGAATTGGAAATTTTTTAATTATTTCCAGAAGTTTTTCAGTGTTTGCCATTGCGACAGTGATAAAAATCGTGCAAGCAACGAATTAAAATGTAGACGCTGCACTGTCGCACCGCTGTGAGCGAAATTGAGGCACAGGTCTGTTCTTGTTCATTTGCTTCTACGAGAAGAATCCCTGGGCGACAATGTCGTCGCGAATTAATCGCAGTCGCTGCGAAATATTCGTGTCGGTTTGGAGGATCCTTTAACTGACACCGTAAAAGTACGAAAACTGAATGCTTCTTTATCACCAAACAATGCATGCAGCCACCACAAAAACGTACCAAAAAAACCTGACCATTTTATCGCTTGTTGTTCATGGCAAGATAAATCGATTTGTAAGGAATAAACGTACTTAGGTGTTTACCTTTTTTTTGTCACTCAGTATAGGTTTACTGTTCTCCATAACTTGATGCAACGTCATAAAACAACTTTCATGAAATATTCTTTGTCAATAAGGTAATTGCCCAAGCTCCAGGGAATGATTCCCTATGTGGTAGTACGACAAAAAGTTGATATGAGAATGCGACCTTGAATGCTCCCTCTTTTATACGCAGTCGTGTAGGCAGAAACCTAAATGCCGAACCACCGCGACTGCAAGAAGGAACTTAAAGGGACCTTGTTAATTCTAGTTTGGAAGTGATTCAAGTTAGCAGAGCTGGGAAAAACCTTCTCAGGCAAACTGTTGCGCAATATCGACATCCTAGGAACAAAGGGGCAATCGCACCGGCAAATTCCCGTTCGGCGAAGTTTGAACAGAGTTGAGGTGGGAATTAGAAGTCTGGCAGGTGCGGAACCATTAATTTCTTGGAAATACCCCAATAAATTGAAAACAGACTGTCGAGAGTGCAGTTATGCTTTCAGGCATTTCTCTTTTATATCGCAGATCATCAAAAGGTGACATGTATAAATGTGCTTATCATATATATAGAATCCGGTTGAAGGGGGAAGGTCATCACCACATTGCCTATCAACGATGACGCAAACGATCGTGCAATCTGCCGCGTTGCCAATATGTTACACCAAAAAATGTTCGCACAGGTTTCTACAATAGGTTATGCTACTGTCAAGCCAAAGAAGGAGGTCTGTTCGTACATTTGAATTAATATTTTGTATTCATTTTAATTATAATTACTTACCGATGGTGATAAAATCGATACATCCTCAGTTATTATTACATTTTGCTACAGCGAGCGGTCGACAAATGTAACAAATACCATTACGCATTACAAATTATCACTGCCTATGTGTACGCAGGTGAAAACGGTTTCGAGGTAGGACAACACTCTCCAATGAGCGCTAGATGGGTACTGACATATGTGATCATGAAGGTGGAAACCTTGCGTTGGAATGTACAAGATGCGGTGTTGCCAAGCGAACCAATGATGCAGTGTTGCAGAATTTGTGGCAATGCTGACCTTTCATTTCGACTTAAAATGAAGCGCCATTAGGACTGCTCCGGAATGGGTCCTAACAAGATTCGACACAACTCACAATTCACAAAAGTGTACGCCAAAAATAAAACCATTATTTGGGCGTAGAAAGAAAACTAACGCATACTTTAAACATGCATCTTAATTCAAGGAACTGGTGTAACACATTGGCGACGCGGCAGATTGAAGCGTCAGCGTTGCTACGTAACTCGATGATGAGCTTCCCTATCTAGCCGGCTTCTATCTCTTTTTCTACCATATGTATCTATTCACACTTCTCTTTCATATATATTGAACTCAAGCCATCAGACAAAGTTGGTTTCCCGTGTACGAAAGTAATTCCTGTAATTTTTTTCAGAAAAAAATCGGGTTATCGAAATATGAAATTACACTTTTTGAGGCTTCCTTGCGTTAACACAGAACCCCGCTGAAGGTGAAAATTGTGAGATACTTGTATTGACCAATTTGTGAAATTGCAAAATAGTTAGTAGTAGGTGCTTGAGAAACCTCTCCTGGCAGACCGTTCGTTGATGTGAAAAATGTCCCCGACATCTGCTGTATCATCAGTCGGTTAGCTCTCCTGTGTCAAACCATGCCGTAAGCGATCTGGAACTCCTACAATCCGCAAGGAACGGCTTACTGCAAAGTTTGTTCATCCGACAAAACCAGATACATGCTTCCGAGCCTACTGTTTATTAAGGTACTACCACGTTCCCAGACTGTGATAACCTCTAGCCTACAGGTCAGAAGATGTAATCGTGATCTGTCGTCTCCCCTCTAGGTGAAAGAATCTTTTGTACTATCACTGATTCCTCGTGGAACGTCTCCAACGAGCTCAGGGACTACATCAAACATACGCAAGCCGAATCGCAAAGTAACCCGTTGTTGCGTGAGTTGGTAGACTATCCAGTCGAGCGAAATCGTAGACACATAAGTTCGTACTCGAACTTTAAACAAAATTGTATAGTGCGTTTTTAGGTCCGTCCAAGGTTACAATATTACAATTTCTTTCACAACAACCAATCCATTTAGAACAAAATAAAGATATAATACTATTCAACAAGGCCAACGCATATTTTCTCCTCTTTGCTCTTCCTTTTCCTTCCTCTCCTTCTTCTTCCCTTTTTACCCTGGCTTCGTCTGGTATCTGGGCAATCAGACCTGATAGACCTATCGACTTACAAGACTTCAACCAAGAGCAAAACTCCTATGGAGAGCCATCAATGTATAACAGTAACTCCCTGGAGAACATTTGGTTGAATGTGAAGAAAGTTTAAGGGAATTCGTCGAGTGTGGGAAATACTTGAGGTCGTCGTTGATCTTAGAAGTCTTCAGAGATTTTCGAATAGAAATTCAATTTCGCTGCGTAGCATGTTTAGCGTCATCTGGCTTTTGTTATTCAATACCTCCAAATCAGGATATCTTAAAACACCTACGCACATGTGCAGGTAGTGTGTTGTTGGGCCGTATAAAATCTGGTCAATATATCGGTTTATATACCTTGCAATCAGCATATCTTCCAATGTTTCGAATAAAAAGGAAGAAAACTTGAATTCCCACCTAGTCAATAAATATCTACGCAAAACAGGTATGTCCCACAAATAAATTTGGACAGATAAGCATCGCATTATTATTAGTTGCGTAGGATTTATTGTTTTATAAGGTTTTATTGGTCATGCAACTAATAAATTTACGCCAAGATATCTATACAGCAACTTTAAATAATGCAAGACTGCACTTCTCATAATATTTTTTTATAACCCAGATAAATTTTGAAATTTGCAAGACAAAAGGAAGGATGTGACGTATTATTTATAATCATTCTCGACGTTGATGGAACATATAGTCATTACTTTGTGATCTAAACGATTAAACTGTATGATTGATCAGAAATTACTAACAATTCGCGTACATCTGGAATACAACACATTCATGAGCTACGTCACACGTCACATAAAGCAAGCTTTTAAAGAAGACAGGTTGCCAGAATCACTGCAGGGTAAGGAGAATCCAAAACAAATACATCATGAGTATAGTGACGCCTTCAAGAAAATGTTAACACAGGTATATGTATATATATATATATAGAAATAAGGCCGTCGATAGGCCTTATTATGTGGATAAAGGGCAGTTGCTTGGTTTTCGTTCGTTGTCCTACCTGGAAACAAAATATTAAAAGTTAGTCACTTTTGTAGATAGAAGCAGCATATTACTCGACAAAAACGACCCTCATATTCCATGGTTTCTAGTTACTTATGTTTTTTTTATAACACAGTGTTTATAGACGCAAAATATACTTTTTCTCAGAAACTCAAATCAAGATTCTGTATCTTTTGTAAGTTTTGCATTGTTCTTTTAATAAGCTTTATTTCGATATCGTAGGATATTCCTACAATTGTAGGACGCCTTTATGGCAACCTTGATTATTTCCATGTCAGCGCTCTATTTTGCGGTTATCTTAGAAATATCTATTTGTATCAAATTGTTCATGCTTTTGATTTACATCATCTGTTATATTAGCCTGAAATTCATGCAATTCAAAAAGAAAGCATAGCCTCACAGTAGCCTTTCTGAAGGAGTGAAAAAATACTATAAAAATCAAGGAGGCTACAATTGCAGGACGCATTTATGACCACCTTGACTTTTGCTGTCCTTCATAAAGGCCGTCTATTTTGAGGTTGTGTTACAAATCTCTATTCGCATCAAATTGTTCATGCTTTTGATTTTGATCATCTGTTTTATCGGTCTGGAACTTCCTACAATTCAAAAAGAAAACAACTAGGAGAGTGCTGACGCTAAGACGCAATAGTTCTGAAGGAGAGAAAAGTCTGTGAAAATCAAGGAGGCTCTAAAGATGCCCTACAATTGTAGGAATGACTGACGATACGGCCATTAATTACTAAATTGTTGTGCTACATGTAGTATTATAGAAATTTCAATTGAAAGTGAATGGGTACCACATGGTTTGTGGATCTTTAGTGAATGGCTAAGAAGCTTTCAATGAAATAAATACCAGTCCACTAAAACAGCTCCCTTCCACGAGTAATGTGGGTTCAGTTATTTTGGAATGCAATCTGTGGAAAGCTGTAAATAACTCGAAAATTTAGTAATTTGATCTCCCAGT